GACTGTGTCCGAGAAAGGAAGCTGAATGGAATTAAAGTGTACTGGTGGACAGGAACTGCGTCGGAGCGTGAAGGTGATGTGTTGGCATTTGGATTCGTTTACTTTAATTCGCCATTTATTACACCAGTGTTCAATCAGGGAGAGATGTCTTTGAAGGTTTAAGGATGCTATATCAGGATCTGAGTCGGATGATAGAATGGCGGTGTCATCAGCAAAAGTTGCCAGGAAGGTATCGGGATGGACAGGGATATCAGCGGTAAAGAGGATGTAAAGGACGGGACCCAATACGCTACCTTGAGGAACACCTGCCTCAATTGGATAGCAATTCGATAATTCACTACCGCAGCGAACTCGGAAGGTACGATCTGAGAGGTAGGAACGGAGGACAAGGTACAAGGACTGAGGAAGATAGGTTTTCAGCTTGGAAAGAAGCCCGGCGTGTCATACCCGGTCAAAAGCTTGAGCTATGTCCAGAAATGCACCCGAGCAATATTGCTTGCTTTCCAATGCTGCGGAAATATGATCGACCACTCGGAGTCCTTGTTGGACTGTGGAGTGTTGTGAACGGAATCAGAACTGATGTGAAGGAAAATTTTGGGATTCTATAAAGGGTAGGATTCGTTTCAGGAGGATCTTTTCAAAGATTTTTGAGAGAATCGGAAGTAGGCTAATTGGTCTGTAGGACGTTGAGGTGTTGGGAGGTTTGCCTGGTTTCGGAAACAGGATAATAGTGGAATGTTTCCACAAGAGAGGAAAGTGGGTGGTTCTTAGGATGGCATTATATAAGTAGGTGAGAAATATAACAGCTTTAGGAGGAAGTTGTCGAAGGATTTGAGAGGTAAGGAGGTCGTATCCAGGAGATTTACGGAGAGGAAGTTTTTGTAAGTGATGTTTGACCTCAGAAGGATTAACTGCTTTAGGTGGCAAGGAAAGTGGAATGGGAGAGCGCAATGATAATAAGACAATAAAACAACTTCTTCTCCCTCCTAGAGCGGGATCGTCTGGAGTTAAACAAGAAGTGAAAATTGGGAAGAAGCCTCAGTCTGTGATCACCTATCCAGAACAAGATTTTCAGGAAGTGATTAGTAGGGAAGAAAAAAAAATAAAAGAAAAAAAAAATAGAAACTCAAGGAACATCACAGACCGAAACTAATCAGATTAAATCAACTGAAAGGCAAAAGAAAGAATTATGACTGATACATTAAAGTCCCGTCCCTAAAGCCTTCCAAAAATGTCCCTAAACATATGTTTATAACTATAGGTGGAGAAGGGAAGAGTGCTTTGGAAGTTGTAAAGAACTACACATTTTATTCTAGGAAGAAGAGAAAGAACTTAGACAAGCTGCAACTGATTCGAGGATTGACCAGAACTCACAGAGTAACACGGCTGGCTTTTGCTCGAGAACACAGCCATTAGACTATGGACGAATGGAGTGCTGTACTTTTTACAGATGAGTCAAGATTCGCTCTTTGATCTCCAGACGGGCGTGAAAGGGTGTGGAGAAGAAGAAACGAAAGATGTGCAGCCTGTAATTTTTCCCAGAGCCAACCTTTCCAACGTGGTTCCTTAATGGTGTGGGATGGGATTTCAATGGAGGGCCGCACAGAATTGATTGTTGTTCGTGGAGGGTCTTTGACGGCCATTCGCTATGTAGATGAGATTTTGGAACCTCGTGTGTTGCCTATCCTCAACGAAATCGGTGATCGTTCTATTCTAATGCACGCCCACATGTCGCCCGCATAGTGCAGACGTTCCTTCAACAGAACAAGATTGAGGTTTTAGCCTGGCCAGCACATTCTCCAGATTTGAACCCCATTGAGCATTTATGGGATAACCTCAGAAGACGAATAAGAGCGCGTGCAACACTTCCTGATGCACTGCTGGACTTTGAAAGGGCTCTTTGGGAGGAATGGGCTATCCTCCAGCAAAGGGACATTTCCCGACTGGTGGAAAGTATGCCGAGGCGTCTTCAAGAAGTAGTGAAGGAAAGAGGAGTAAACACGTGCTACTAAACGATGATTTAATTAATTTCTTTTAGAATAATAATGGTTCATTTTCAACTTTTTTCTCTCTAATCTTTCTTACCCAATTCCATTTTGATTATTAAAGGTAAAAAAGATTATAAAATTCCATAAATACTAAGTATTATCTACAAATACCATGCAATATATACAAATACAACTTTACGGAAATATTTTTAGATAAAAACATGGAAAAATCAAGTGGGTGGAATTTTTTGCCTGTCAGTGTATAATATTTTTTCGCTGTAAAGATCCTTTTCCGGCTATCAGGAACAGTTGGTATTGACATATTACGTATAAAATGAAAGAGGATTTTATGGAACAGTAACGAATTAGTTTCATCTTCCTAAAAAATTCACGAAAAAAATCACAGAGGAAGTCTTGCCAGTTCTGGGGACTTCCTCTGTGGTCAAATACTTTGTCTTTCTTTCATTTACCTCCAGCCCAAATGCTCCGGCGTCCTCCAACAGAATTAAAAATCCCTCTCTGATTGATTGCAGCGTTCGCTCCTTGATGTCCACATCATCCGTTGTTGGCTGTAGGCCAACAGCTGGACCATCCGATTGTAAACTGTCTTATCTGTTTATAAACCTAAATCTCTCACTGCCTTCTCAAGTGCCAAGTTAATCAGGAGGCATGCCTCCAACTCACCACTTTGGCGATGTCCTTTTCCTAAGGAGAACTCCTTCCGTCTTCACCCACCAACCCTTACAATATAATTCACTTCTCTCATAGTCAGCTTTACCAGTTGTATTAGTTTACCGGAACAGGATGTTGAATAAAATTTTATATCCACTAGAGAGAAAAGAGATTCCCCTGTAATTTTGGCATTGGAGTTTTTCTCCTTTCTTGAAAATAGGAAATATGATTGACTTTTTCCAATCTTCCAGTAAAACCTCTTCCTCCCAGATGGTTTAGATATGATTCTGAAGCTCATCATCAGCTCCTCACCTTTGTTCTTGAATAGTTCAGCGGGTAGGTCATCAGCTTCAGGCGCCTTATTATCTCTTCATCATCAAGTGGTTCACGTTATCTTCCAGGTTCCCGATTGTCAAGTCTCAGGTCTGATCCACAGGGAGCTGAGTTGAGTATCTCCTCAAAGTAACTTTTCCATTGTGATAGAACGTCACTCTTGCAGGCCACTATATTCTCATCCTTGTCTCTACAAGTTTCCGGTACCTTTGTTCGAGGGCTTCTTCATCGATTGATGCTCCTGAAAAAATTTCTTGATTTTTTTCTCCTTCCAGTATTTTTCAGTCATCTCCGGTTCGTTTTTCTCTCTTTGCCTCTTTTTTCTTTGATAGAGTTGTTTTTCCTCTCTCCTCTTCAGAGAGGGAGAGAGAGAGAGAGAGAGAGAGAGAGAGAGAGAGAGAGAGAGAGAGAGAGAGAGAGAAACTGAGACAGTCAGACATCAGTGTGCTGGAGCAAGCTCAAAGATCTTTCCTACTGGTGACAGGAGCGTATAGAACAGCACCCACTTCCGCTTTGCAAGTGATTACAAGACAATTGCCTATAGACCTGAAAATACAAATATCTATAGCCAAGTATAGAATAAAGAGAGGAGTGCCAGCAAATGTGGGAACAAGCTGTTTTGTGTGCCCTTGTGGAAGGTAGGAGGAGGTAGCCGCCACAGAATAGAAGAACTAGTCCTTTTTGAATGGCAGAGAAGGTGGGATGCATGTGAGACTGACCCATGAATTCTTCCCAGATGTCAGGAGAAGAATCAAGAATGACTGGGTGGAGATGGATTTCTGGACTGTTCAACTCCTCACAGGCCATGGAGATATAAATGAAAAATTACATTTTTTTCATAGAAGAGCCAGTCGGAATTGTCACTGCGGGGCTGTTGAGGATGCTAGACACATGATTTTGGAATGTCCAATGTACACTGGCGCCTGACAAGCATTGGCAGCAGACTACTCCATGTTGGAATGGCCTCCTCGGTCCCTGGACAAGCTTGTGGAGACACCTGAGATATTTGATGCCTTACGACAGGCATTCCATATTCCATGAAAAAATAGCAAGAGAGGAAATATTAAACCGGTGATATACCAAATACATAAATTTATTGTTATCATAAGATTTAGAAATAGTATATATAAACTTAGTAATAGGCCCACAATAAGTAGGTAGGAAGTTACTGGAGTCCTGTTTGGTGGGAACAGCCCTCCAGTTGCAGGCAGCCCATTAGTGTAGGTTTACCCGTAATAATTAATGCCCCAATCAAACTAAAAGACCGAATCTTGCCTCACTTTGACCCAAGAATTTGGATCAAAGTGAGAGCAGACCTGCCCGCTTGGTTACCAATCCTAGTAACCGAGCCCTTAAATTCGTTGCATATTTTTCAGTTAGAAAATTGGATGTACCCCTGGTAAAGGGTTGCCCTAAGGTACAGTGGGGGAAAGAAGGAAAAAAAAAAAAAAAATATAGAGAGAGAGAGCGCGCTAACTCTCCAGCTACAAGGTCAAATATACCATCTTGATTTTTTAAAACATTTAAATTGGTTTTGTATTCCTTTATTCACATGCACTAATTCCTACATAGATTATTATTTGAATAACAAAAGGTTATAGATAGCTATATGTGGACTATAAGGTTTTAACCTAAGTTATTTAGTTATATTGAATGTTAATTACCAGAATATATCTTAAGGATAATAACATATGTATGAAAACAAAAAAAACAGTACTAAAAGGAATAAAATATTAAGGAAAAAAAAATTAAACTTACTGAATTATTGATATAATTTATGAATGTACAAAAGTTTGTTAAAAAAGTGTTGTAAATATATAAATGTATATATAAAATTTATCTCATATTGCACAAAGATAACTAGAAATAATATTTCCAAAACTAGTTAGGACATTGATTAAATAATAATAAACTTACGATTATTTTTTAAAGAAATAATTTACAAATAAGAAATTTTATACAATGATTAGTGAAGAAATATAAAAATAATAGCTAACCTGGTACTACAAAAAAAAAAATAATAATTCAAAGGCATTAATAAAAAATTCGTACATAACTTAATAAATACAGAAGAAAAAACTACCAAAATGGCTTTAATTTTTTTTAAAATACAACCATTACGATTAATCAGAATATAATATTATCATGTCTTTTAAGTATTTCACTTCATTATTTACTAAAACATATACATTAATTACTATCACACCATCATGGGTTTGTACTGATGAATTTTAATGAATTTAGTAAAATGGTCATCTTCATTGAACTAAAAAACTAAATGTTCAGCCACTGGTAAATGTACAGTTTTAAATTTTAAATAAACCAAATACATCTTAAGATGACTGCTCTCTAATTAACAATATTATCTTTACAGTGCCAGAAAATGAAATGAAAATAAGTTACTACAAAAATATATTAGCCTTGATAATAATCACAAAAATATGTCATGATAATTCTTGGTATGTTAAACCTTGTATTTTATTTTACTTTTTACTTCTTATCACAATAATTGTATCTTACATTAAAAAAAAAAATAAAATAATACAAAGTGGAATGTTTAATTATTTATGTTACTATAATCTAATTATAACACAATGGAAATATTATCATTTAATACTAATTTTTAATTCAAGCAAACTTAAAATACTTGGTGGTATACATCTTGGATTTCAGACTTAAGTGCATCATGAATATGAAGGGTTTACAAAAAACAAATAGAGATTTTGACATAAATAAAAATAAGTAACTATTTAATTTCATAAAAAGTTCATGTTATCATTTAATATAAACAATTTAATCACAATCGACATGATTCAGTAATGACTAGACAAGTATTTTTATATCATAGCTATTAGTTTTAGCTAAATGGAAATAATTTATATTCAATTTATAACTTTTTATGTAAATAATGCTGAAACAATAAATTTTCATCCTGCAACGGGATCCAGAGGAGCAAAAATAAATTAGCAATTATTTAACAACATAAAACCTGTAAAAGTACTTAATAGTAACAGAGTGACTTATGTATTTTAAATTCATTTTTTCAACATGCACTCTTATATGTTGGCACTGTCAAGTTTCATTCCGTTTTCCCCCTATAGATTATAATCTACTTATGGTTTAAACATAGGTATTTTATATTTTAAAATATCAAGCTTAAATGTTCACATTTTTACTAATCCCAAACAAGGAAATTCAAAACATAATGAACAAGGATCAATATGATTGAAGTAATGGTGGGAATACAAATACAAGAAATGGTGGGAAACAAAAAAGATTCAAAGAAGAAAAATGAACGAATAATGAAGAAAATACATAAAACAACATTTCTGACATCATTATTTAAAAGTTAATCTAACGCAAGATACAAATTCTTGAAAGCTATTTTTTATATTAACAGCACAAAACAAAGTTTTTAATATTTTTTATTCTTAAAACATAACTTTGTTAATGAAAAGAATATCAAATACTACTGGGGTCATAAATAAATCCCCTCCACTGAAAAAGTGTTTAATTAACAAGTGAAAAACTAAAATTAATCACTCATAAGGTAAGAGCGATTCACAAAATTAAACTAAATTTTAATAAATAAACTTAATGATGGAAATTTCATTAAATTTTAGGATTGACTTTGCTAAGATTTTCAATAAAAGGCAATATTAAAGAAGCTAACAACATATTGACCAAATCACGAAAATGTATCTCATATTACACCTGACTGTAAGATTTGAATCAGAATTCCTATATAAACTTCCACACATGACAATAATTTTAAGTATTTCTTTAATAATGAAAATCTATAAATGAAATAATGTTGAAAACAAATAATAAAATAAAATGAAAACAAAACTAGTTTCATAAAATGTTATGGAAAGTTTATACAAAATGAAAAATCCATACCATGTATTACATTAAATACAATGAAATTGGATGAAATAAAAACGTGCAGTATTAACAAGTGTTAAAATGAGAAACATCATTGATATATTCAAGACTAAAACTAATGCTATTGCACAAAAAATACAAAAAAAAAGACATTTAAACTTAAATTGGTATTAACAAAATTGAAAAGCCAACCATTATTAGTAAGTAACTTTTGAAACAATTACTTTGATGAATACAAATGTCTTTCTATTTCCTGGAACCCATATTAGGCACATAATCCATGGCCATTAAACATGCAAACATTGTCATTACCATTTTAGGTTTTACTTCAGTTATATCTTCAGGTAAAGCGTATACCCTAGCACCAGTTTTCCTAGCCATAGATATTGCATATTTAGCATTGGCAAGCTTTTCCTGAAAATAAAGTAATTAACATCATCAGATATTCTCATTTTCAACATGTGGCAAATAAGTCGGAATATATTGATGTGTAGGTGATAGATTTGGACCTATAAGTTATATATAATTCTACTCCAGTATAACAGACAAACAAGATAAAAAATAAATAAATAGGGAGGAGAAATAATATGCAAAACTACTGTATAAAGTAATGTTTACATCTAACAAATAGGACTAAGCATAATTATATTCTACAACAGACCTTAACTCCCCCATGCCAGTTTAGGAATATTCTTTGCAAACTCACATTCTTTGATATAAACATTAATACTTACATCAAATCAAAGAGTGAAAAAATCTTAAGCTTACACTCCTTGAAAAAAAAAAAAAAAAAAAAAAAAAACACGGTCCCACTAAAAACAAAACAATCTTTTGTACAAAGTTCCTCAGGAGACATGGAAACCCTGTCTTACGATTCTTTCACAAACTCTTCTAAAGGGAGTTTCAATTGTATAATGTGAACAGTCATCTGTTTTCTGGCTTCTTGGTAGACTATGGTCCCTATTTTGATGCACTCCATCCTGTCATATGTCCGGATAATTTCTCTTGCCACTCTTAATATATCCCACCTCTATTATCCTGCACATTTTCTTCTACCTTTTTCCTAAAATTATTCTAATATTGATGAGTTTCTCAAACATATCTTTTCCCGCCATTGTATATATATCTCTACACCGTTCTGTTCTCTGATCACAAAGAGGGAGAATTCCATAACCTTATTCACATGATACAGTTGCAGACGATCTCATGGTGTTCTGTGCAGTATTTCAAACCCATCCCTGACTTTCTATAGCTTACCCTGTTCCATTCCATCCTTTCTTCCTTTCCGTTCCTGGTGCTGACATCCACCACAATCCATGAATATTTTATCCCTTGGTACCTCCTCCTTTTATCCTGTGCCTTAGTGAGCTAGACTTTGAAGACTTGATAGGAATGCCGGTTGAGGTTTAAAATCAATTTAAAAAATAAAGTTAAAATTTTCCATAAAAACCTATTTATATATTAAGTAATTTATTTTAATATACAGTATCTATAAAATATTTATCATTGTTTTGTGAATCATGCTAGCATATTCGGTGACATTCAAACATCAGATCTACCAAGCCATCATTTGGACTCAGCTGGTTGTGGCAACTGAGCCATCCAAGTGAAGATATAATTAAAAACCATATATACCCTTGATTGAAGTCTTAACATACTGGAATTCAAATAAAGTGATCTGGGTGAATCTTAAAATGAATCCGACGCAATCATTATAACAGCATTATAATCCCAAAAAACAGGAATTTTCATTCGTTTTACATGACTAAAATTTAATTGTTCTATCATGTTAACTCCCAATCCCTCCTGTCATATTTTGATAAATTCCTAGATTATTTCCTTAATAACTTTGACCATATTACTGGTAATTTACCAATAGCGCAGTATTCGAAACCTGACCGAAACTGATCATTTCCAGTTAAACCCTTATTCGCCATGATCGGAAGGATTCAATTGAGGGAATTGATAAAAATACTATCTAGTTGAAGATTGAATAAAGATCCTTTACAAATCTCCTTACTAGACACTACTAATTTAGTAGAATTTAGAAGACTTATTTGTAGAAATCTCCCTAGATTCCTTTTCCCCCTCTCTATGTAACAGTATACCACCCTCCTGAGGCTCCTACGAATCTTCCTTTTTTACTTATGTCCCTGTTTACAATAAAATTATAATCTTCAGTGACTTTAGCACTAATTTGTTCTTGGACTTTATTGAAACATCGTACTTCTTATTCATTTGTATATCTCATTTATTCTCTAGACCTATTTATAGTTCACTTTCAACAGACTCACTACACCCAGTTCTCTAGTACATTGCTTGACATTTTTAAAATAGCTTCTGTCCAAAATTTAATATTCTCCCAGAATCCAGTTATCTTTCCTTTCATATCATGATATAATCAAGATTTCCTATAATAATTCAACTATTAAGATCATTCCCAAGCAAATTTCCTGGTATGAATTCTATTCACTAACCTCTGAAAATGTTAATTCTTTTCTTGAGATTCATTATACTAACCCCTAGAACTTATCTATTCCTTTTCTCCCATTGATGCAATGTTGGAATGTTTTTCTTAAATATTTATTCTTATATCACCACAGACCTCTTAAGAGTTCTATTTTCAGAACCCCTCCTCCCCCTTCTGCCACTCCTTGGATTGATCAAGAAATCAGAGATTTGATTAGAAGAAAAGATGCACCAAGAAGATGTTTCAGAAGCACTCCTCTTTAAAGTTCTTTCAAAACCTCACCCCATCTTCCTTACACCATGCTAAAGCACAATTTTTTCACCATTTCTTATCACAAGTCCCAGATCTTACATCTGGATGAAAAATCCTTAAAAAGCTATCAGTTGTCAATAACAAATTTTGTGATTATTATTCTGTTTCTCATTACAAACAAAATTCTTATTTTTGCAATGCTCTTCCCATAATGTACTCTCCCACATACCATAAACTTCCTTTGACTTTTAAGAAACTTCTATTTCCTAAATATCTCCCCAGAAGATTTACATTCTTCTGTTCTCAAATCCAGAATCAACAACTATGGCCCAGATCAAATTTATATGAAAATAATTAAAATAAGAAGTTCTATCATCTTTCCATTTCTTTTACATTACATTATTACATGTAATACAAAATTTAATTAGGCTTATTAGGAACAAGTCCCCTAAAAACAAAAAATCACCTGATGCATAATTAAAATAAATTTATAAGAGGTGAAGTGTTTTTCTAGTCTCAAACATTCCTAATGAATCATGTCCCTTTACTTTAAGCATAGATATACTACAAAAATAACAATTTAATATATTCGTTAAGTAAAAATGTACTCTGAAATTTGTTTGTTGTTCTAGAATTAACATACCTAGTTCTGCCATAAATACTGTTCCAAAAGTTGAACTTTACATCCTTGGGTATCATTTTAATAATCCTTACCTCTGTCAGGTTATTTTCTTTACACCTCAGGATAATAATCCCAATTAGTTTGTATTTTTCTTTCGCTCAGTTAACATGGAGTGGGGTGATAAAGAAAACCAAATAGCTGTGATCACCTTACACAAAGTTGGAAAATGTAGGTCACAAATTTTCAACACTTTGAAACCTTTGGGTATCAGCCGTATGTTAGTGTACTGCACTATAAATAAATATAATGAGACCCTGTCTGTATGTGACAGACCTCGACCGGATCATCCCCTACACTGTGGGAACGTCAAATGCAGTGAGAGCAGTGGATCCTCGAATCAGAAGAAATCCCATTTGAAAACAACAAATCATGTCTCGGGAAATGGGAATCTCTGTCAGATCAATGTCTCACATAATAAAAAGTGACCTTAGGATACGTGCATTTCGAAGAATGACAGGACGAAGGCTAACCACTTCACTAAAAAAAAAATTAAAAGATTTTGTTTAGCGATGAGAAAATTTTTACAATTGAAGAAAAATATATCGCCAAAATGATCATGTATAAGCACACAGCTCAGTTTTCAATAATTCAAAAGTATGTTTGAAGAGCGGAAATAGGTCATCATCCTTCCTCAGTGATGGTTTGGCGAGGGGTTTGCTTTGATGACACCACAAAGCTCCATTTTTGTGAAAAAGGAGGTAAACAGCCACTAAAAACTATCAGGACGATATTTTGGAATCTGTTGTTAAGCCTCTAAATGATACTCTATTTGTTGGAAGTCATAGGGTTTTCCAGCAGGATTCCGCTCCATCTCACAAGACCAGATCAACTCAGCAGTGGCTGCAAAAGAACATTCCAGAGTTCATCTCTGCCTCGGATTGGCCCTCAGGAAGCCCTGTTCTCAACCCACTCACTAGATTATCAGCTTTGGTCCGAACTGGAGAAGATGGCATGCCACAGAGCACACCCTAACTTGGAAAGCCTCAAACAATCTCTGGTCGGAGCAGTTGAGCACTTTTCTCAAGAAGTGCTGCGTGATAGTATTGACGACTGGCCACGGAGATCAAATGCCAGTGTCAAGGCAAAAGGAGGGCATTTTGAATAATTTATTTTTTGTTTTACTCTCTATAGATATAAATTTTATTTTCTACTAAATTGTTTTAAAAAATTGTAACAATATTTATGACAGGACTAGATATACAAATGTATGTGTATGTTATGATAACAAACCTCTTCTGTTTCCCCTTCTTTAACAAGGTCATAATTTATGGTTCCAGGTTTGATTGCATCAATTAAGTCAATAACTACCTTGGCATCAGAAACACTTGTATCCTGAAATATTCACATTTACAATCAGAAAATAAAATTAAGAAACCCAAATAATATATAACTAAAGACAGTATAATTTTATCACATATTTTGAGAATACCCCTTGTTGATCTAACCAAATTAATATTAGTAAATCAAAACGGAAATACTAACTACAAGATTAATGAGTGATATGATTATTAATCAGGCATGTAAATTTGTAAATTGTAGAGATAACAAAACATCAAAAACTTAGTATGAAAAAATACAAGAAAATATATGCAGTGTTACCATCTGCCATAAAACAACAAAACATCACTTTCTGAATGTTTACATATTTTCCTAAGTTTGTATCCTTATTTTAGTGTCATTAACATATTGTCCCACCCATGAAACACAAGACCTATTCATCTGCTGCTTTAATGACACAGAATGGGATAATTAAACATGCAAAACATTTACAAATAAAAATATGGAACAGATATGCATAGGAAATACCTAATGTAATACAAAAGGACCAATAGATATTAATTTTAATTCAAACATTCTTCAGGTCTAAACTTTTGCATGAGCTGTTCATGTTTAAAATATGTTACTAGTAACAATACATTTCATTAGGACTAAATATTTTCCATCACACAACAGAATTCATAATGCAGAAATATACCTGAAAACTTTTAAGTGAACTTTTTTTGCCACAACTTGACAACTTATTATTAACCCAAGTAACAATTTCTCTTTCCACGATGGGGCTACCAGTGTTAGCCAACTGAGTAAGCACTGACAAGGTATAAGCCCGCATTAATTGCCATATTAGAGCTGGAAAAAAAATATGATAATTAAGAATTTAATAACTAAGAATTTTAGAATACACAAATTATGAAATAAATAATAATCATAAAAAAAGTATACCTAAGGTTAAAGTAGAATTTCCATCATTGAGATCTTGACCAGCTATCCCCACCAATGAAAATCCTAATTGTTTGCCTAGCTCAACTGCATAATTGCAATTTTCTAATTTTTCCATAAACTTACGGAGTTTAGAAAATTTTCTAAAATTAAAAAATAAATATTAAATACAAGTAAACTTACAACTAACTTAGTTTAACCATAACAATACATGGGGCAATGCACTAATTAAGTCTAGTGTTGGTTGAAATGATCAGAAAGAATAATACACATATACTAATATAAAATATACAAACCTATGAACTCTACCCCAGTTAACTATTCCTGGTTTTATGATATCATATAATTGAAAAATAATTAAGCCATCTGCTAAGTCAGAGTAAAGCCAATTCACATATGGCATTACACCCATGGAGTTCATCCAGTTTCTGTAAGCTAGTGGTACAGATAAATTGTCAAATGAAAAAATATTGTAAATAAAATATATACATTCATCACTAACACCACAAATTAATTGAGCTCTAATATAAGAAATAAATAACTAATTAAATTGATTATAAAGAATAATAAAAATGACTAGAATAATTTTTAGTTTCAATTATGATATCTAGTGTCAACAATTTTCATAAGTAAAATTTCTGATTTTCTCAGAAAATTAATAATTAGAAAAATTGTTATAAACATGCAATCGTAAACTTAAATACAATTTTAATTATGAAAATAATTTAAAATAGTTTAATAATAATTTCGAAGTGTGAATTTCAACATCTTGGTATAATGATTAAATAAGGGACTTTAAATTTGTCTCAATCTTTACAAATGGTCAAGATATGAGTGTATGTAATATCTAAACACTGAGATTTTTAACCAAAATGGTGGATGTTAAAGTAAAGTTGCAAGGATCATCCTGACGTAACCAGTGACCACCACATTTAAACAAGAAATTGACCAAACAGTCTTAACCAAAAAATGTGTGCATCAGTTCATGAAACCTCTAATCAGCTGCTGTCTTAAAACAAAACAGGGAATAGTAATTTTGACTTTCTAGGTTCTCCTTTGAAGTAAACCTGTGAATTCTCTTTCATTCTTTTAACTGCCAAATTTAGCTATCTCACAGTTAAAATTAAAGGAAGATAATAAAGTTAAGAACTCATGACGACTTTCCCATCTCTGAGAGTAGAAGAAGAAAGGTTATATCCAAGTGAGGTTGTCACCTACCTTGACATAAGAATTGGTCGAAAGTTCAATGTGACTCCTCACTTGGACTATATGAAAACTAGAGTTACAGTGGTCCTAAATGGACTCAGTCGTGCTGAGGGTGCCTTCTGGGTTCTCAGATACAGATAAAGGAGTAGTTTTGGGTATTCTGATATATGCGTCCCCAGCCTGGAACATAAAACTCTCGCACCAACAGAAGAGTAGGCTAGTATCGATTCAGATATTGGCTTTACTTTTGGTCACTAGAGCCTATAGAACGGTGTCTCGTGAGGCAGTGCAAGTACTGGCAGGGGGGACACCTCTCAATTTCCTCCTGCGAAAAGACTATTACTTGTTTAAAATGAAAAGAGAAGGTTCGGCAGATCTACCGGTAAAAAGACCAAAGAAGATGGAAAAGAATTATCAGTGAGGACACAGTTGATGAATGGAATCGGCAATGGATGGCAACTCCGTAAGGGACTACCCTAAGAAAGTACTTTCCCACGGTCAAGTCACGATTAGATGCAACATGGGACCTCCCGGATTACTTAGTGTCTCAACTCCTGGAGGGATGTCTCAACGGGGCATGGGGGCTTTCGAGCGAAGCTCGTTAAACTCGGGAAGAATATTGCCTTAACTGCAGCATTCCGGAGACCCCGAACATGTGGTCGTCGAATGCACTGCAAATGAGGCACTAAGAGCTAAGCTCCTGAGAGATGGGGGATATATATACGCTGAAAGAGAGCATGTTCCCCCAGCTAATGAGCAGAGAGAATTACCCACATTATAGGGAATTGGTATAGGGGTGGAAAGATGCTGTAGGCCCTACACATGTTCATCTGGGAAGAAGAGAATGAACTTAAGTCAAGCTGCAGCTGCTTCGAGGAGGTTTCAGGTGGAAGAATGGAGAAAAGGAAAGGCATGAGCTTGTGCACACAAACAAATCTACACCTCAGTTTCCACAATAACAATTATAAATAATAAATGTCAAACAAATTTTAATAAAATATGCCTGTAATTCCAGCAGTGACATAATACCACATTGCTGCTACAACCCGTATTGCCTGTAAGGCAAGACAGGAAGAAAAAAAAAAGACTTTCCATCTCAATTTTTGAAGGATTCACTTAATTTGTGACTAATTCCCAATTTTTCCCAGCCATACAAAATTTCTGAATTTCTGACTGATGGACACTGATCAACCAAAAAAGCACTTAGATAAATTATCAGCATAAAAAAAAATATATTAAACTGGTTCTCAGAGGAACATGAGTGTCAAATAGGGATTGTAGATTTGAGATGATGGTGAAAAACATAAGGTTAATAGAGATATTGAGATATTTAATATATCATTGGACTGAATCAAGGTTAGGCTAAAGGGATTCAAAGAAAATGTGGTCCAAACTTAAATATGATGCAACTTCAGTAGTTAAGAATTTGACCTGTAGGCCATACAAAATAATTTACAGGACAGGAAAGTTAAAAATTATGTAAAGTCCTAAATGACAATTTAAAAAACTGCTGATGAAATGAAAAGGTAACATAAGTATAAAACTAACACAACCCAACATGCACATGCATAGATTTGCACATAAACTATACCTTGTTTAAGATATAATATTTAAAACATAACTGGAAAAATTAAAGTAAAATAATATAACAGAAAACCAACAATGAAAACATTACTTTTCTCCTCTCTTGTTTCTTCTAAATTTTCAAGCCCTTCTATAGTGCCTTCAGGTTGTTCAAGTCCTGGATGATTATTAAATAGATTAGCAACAAATGCCAAATTTAACTTGTATACTCCATTGAGAACATCTGCTGGAGTAACAAAACTTCTACAGCCAAGTTTTCCTGCCTGTTGTAGCATTAGTTCAGCCCTTTTGAGTAAGTCAGGTTCCTACAGAACAACAAATGTTATAATGAATTTTGTTATAACTTACTGATTTCATGATAAATTTATTTTTAGTCAATCCTATTAATAATACAAGTGATACAGTTTAAAATTAATGAAAAAAATCACTTTTCACCAGAAATTAGAAATCATTACTTAAAAAAACAGCACTTGTATAATCATATTCTCTTCTTTTTTTTTTTTAGTCAGTAACCCCTTGTGCATTATAAAGACTAAATTATGGCTATAATTAGACCAAACAAGAAGAAGCTAAAACAGACAGAATTTCTAAATACCTGATTATCACTATCCACAACCTCTTACTATTATAGAGGCTATAATAATATAGTATAATACGGATAATATTAGCAGTTTGTATTAATGATAACAGTAGCAGAAAATGCTTAAAGCAATATGAGCTAGTTTTTTTAAGGCACGAATACACAAATAAAACTTTCTTTAGAGTGTAGAATGACAGATCATAAAATTACTATTTAGACTTTAATGAGAATAAGTGGAGAAATATTAAATAATGTTTTGATATTATTATTTACTCTGGTTGCTAAAAATGCTAGTTGCTAATTTTGTTAACAATATAAAAATGATAAAAAATCTAAAGGATATAAAAGCAAGATTAGAGGATTAAAATGCTGAGTTTCGATTATTTCTCAGTTTCAGGCTGAGTTCTGTTTAGAAACCTAAAAGTTAGAATTTACCAGACTATTATCCTTCCTTCTATTCTTTAGAGGTACAAAACATATTATCCTTTTAACTGCTAATGTTAAAAGAAAACTTAAGGAGAGAACTTCACCAGAAGAATTCAGCGGCAGACTCAGCCTATGATGCCCTTAGATTATTTTAACACCAGCTGGCATTGTCAGGTATGTGGGATGATATTAAGGCCAGTGCCTCTGATCAATAATGATCAGGTTAGTCCCAATTCATAAATATAATAAATGGTCTTAATAGTCTTACCCACACCTTTCCTTATCCTTTAATATTTTTCTCTCTGACAGGGTTCAGAAATGTGTCAGCCCTAGCAGAAGTAACTCAAGGGATTATAGTTGTACCTTTTCTATAATTTTTTACACACCCAGGACATACCAGATAGTCCCAATATCCTGACAGTAAGTTACCCACATGACACTGCAATTATAATAACACTTAATTCCAAAACCAGCTTCGATAATACAACTACATCACTAACTAGTACTATTTACACAATTTATAAAAGTTGTGGTAAATAAACTCAAACAATGACACATCACATTTACATTAAAATGTGCCCTACCATATGCCTCTGTAATGCATTAATACTACAAACGGACAAAGTAAACCATGTAGGACTAACATTTAATGGAAGAGCATTTTGGGGGTACATATACATAAATAAAAAAAGCAAGATGTTAAATACAAGTCAAATGAACATTTTATAATTTATCGATGGTGGACTGCATGCAGTACTTAGCGTGTTACAAGTCAAGTGAAAGTGTAAGGACTGCAAAAAAAAAAAAACAACTGTTAGGGAATATATCTGGACCCATTACAATTGATTTAATGACAAATTACAAAGACACAACCCACTTCTGGAAGGAATGACCACTACAACCAGCATGCCTGAGGATATCAAAAGGAGGCTGAAGAGATTGTAGATAAGATACTACCTGTAATTATTTTAAACTAGAATTAAAGTAGAATAATGTCATGGAAGAAAAACAGCTAAATATTTTTGTTTCTTTATAATTGACATGCCATTGCTGTATAGTTAATTTTGACATGTAAACCACTGATTGTCAACTTCTACATTAAATAAGTATGGATTAATAAATTTAAAAAAAAATTAGATTAATATAAAATTACACACCATCAATGCCTCCATAGTTACTCCTTTTTCTAGAGGTGCTATTTGTTTTAGTAAATATGAGTAAATTTCTGAATCCACAATATCATTCTGAAAATTATTACACCTCCTGAAATAATGAAAATAACAATATTTTTTTATACTTTAATAAATACAATACATAATATATGTATATATGTTACACACAAAATATACAAGAAATGTGAATAAGAATTGAATGATAAATCAATATTTTTACACCATATTTCGATCACCTTCAAAGTATTCTCCCTTGACCACAACAAATCTCTCTAAACGATCCTTCCATTGTTTAAAACATTTATCAAGATGTTCTTTAGGCTTTCCAGTGATTTTTGTTTTACCTCCTCCACAGTGGCAAAACACTTTCCTCTTTTGCCCCTTTTGAGTATGGGGAAAAAAAAGATAATACGGGGGCTAGATCCGGTGAGTAAGGGGGGGGAAGGTGGACAATCGGTGTCATGCCGTTTTCATGGCCTCAAAAACAACTTTAAGGAGAGGGCAGTGTGGGCTGGTGTGTTGTCAGAGCCAGTCGCCTGCACTCCAAAGATCTGCCCTTTTCTTTCGGATTCTCTCCCTCATTCTTTTCAAAACTTCCAAGTAGAACTCCTGGTTGAAAGTTTGACCTGGAAGAACAAACTTCACATGCACAACAACTCTGCAATCGAAGAAACAAATGAGCATTGTCTTGATGTTAGACTTCACTCGATGAGCTTTTTTGGGATGAGGAGAGCCAGCTGTCTCCCACTGGATCGATTGATGCTTTATTTCAGGGTTGTATCCATAACACCGAGATTCATCACCAATAATCACCTTAGAAAAAAAATCAGTGTCCTCTTTGAGCTGATTTTGAAGCACAAAACATGCCTGAAGTCAATGCCTCCTTTGCTTGCCTGTGAGAAGGCGAGGGACAAATTTGGCTGCAACTCTTCTCATGTGCAAATCTTCGGATAAAATCCTCTGGATTGAACTCCATGATATTCGAGTCATCTCACAGAGTTGATCAATGGTTTGTCGACAGTTTTCACAAACAAGAGCATTGATTTTGTCAATTCTTGACATTGAGGGGTGTCCTGCACGGGGTTGGCTGCAAGGAGATCCAAGTTAACTATGAAGAAAATCAAAGAAAATTCTGGAATATTGTAAATAGACTAAGAGGGAAGAAAGGAAAACAGATACGAAGTTTCCAAGACAATAACTGTAATTTGGTGTAAAATGTAAAAGAAATTCTCTAAGTATAACAAATACACTACCAGAGTACTTTTTCCTTCTATGAATACAGATACTATCATCAATATGATGGCCGTAGAAGACCTAGAATCAGTGAAAATCAGGTGGAGAGTAGTGAGAATAGTGAGAGTGATGTTACAGAGGAAGATGAGATTGCATTTGCTATGGAGAAAATAAAATTGGGAAAAAGCAGCACGCAGGGATAATATTATGGCATAATTCATAAAGGATGGAGAAGAAATGGTCAAGTGCCTCCAAAATCTCTTTCAAAAGATCTGGTAGCAAAAAAGAAAATACCTCAGGACTGTGAAAATAATATTATAATTCCAATTTTCAAAAACGGCAACCAGACAAAATACGAGAATTATAGACCTATATTGAAGTTATATACAATTAAATAACTAATATATATTGTTTGTCTCTCATAAAATCCTGAAGAAGACCTAGAACATATGTCGAAATGTTAGACAATACAATAAATAAACTATAATAAAATATAGTATTTTTTGACCGCACCTCCAACTAACTTCTTCCGAAATTAGAATCTATGATCAACCATCTCCATACCATTTATAATTTTTGAGTTATTAAGAGTGTAAGCAGTTAGATAAAGAGAACAGTAATTTGAGCATAAAATGCATGCTCATTTTTACCATCATAAAAAACTTTATAACAAAACCAGATATTTTCAGAAACATAAATGAAAAGTAAAAGATAGAATTACCTTGGTATACCAGCAGATTCTAAATGATGGTTAACCCAACGTAAAAGAATTGATTCTGGTGATAACTTCATCAAATCTTCAATATGTTCTCCAGATAAAAGAAGAGTAGGAAGGCCAGGACAGTTATCAAGGGTAATTTGATTAAAAAGACCAATCTAAAAATTCACAATATCAATTTTATTTAATGTGTCTTTCGAGAAATTGGGTACATGCACACTTTTTCAATGACAAAAACTTGATTTTTTAAATAATAAACATACACCAAACAATATATATTGGGTTGTCCAGAAAATAATGTAGGATTTTGAGTTTTCTTTAAAATACTCCTCTATGTAACAAACTGATTATGTTTACTGGATTATTTATTTGTATGAATATCAACAATTATTAATCCTCTTCCAAACGATAATGTTTGTTTACCTCTGTAGCATTTCCCTGCTTAGAAATAATTCATTCTTTACTAAAATGTCACTGCAGGATTTTTGTATAATTTTAGTGATTTTGTTTTACAAGTTTGAACTCGGCCGGAATGGGGCATAGATGTTCAGAAACATCAATCGAGTCTGGGGCGAGAGCAGCATTAATGAGTGCATTGTTCAACAATGGTTCAAAAAATTTCAGGAGGGAGACTTCAGCCTTGAAGACAAAGGTCATGAAAGGACTTCTTCTTTTGATGACGATGTTCTGCAAGCTTTAGTGGAAGAAACCCCCAGAACAACAGTTCAAGAACTTGCAGGGAAACTTAATCTTAGCAAATCGACTGTCGATGAACACCTCAAGGCGATTGAAAAGGTAAAAAAGCTTGATGGTTGGGTTCTAAACACTTCTTTGCCAAAACAAAAACAACCCTTTTCTGTCCAGAATTGTTACTTGTGATGAAAAGTGGATACTTTATGATAACACTGGACGTTCTAGACTGTGGCTTGACAAAGGAAAAGCAGCAGAACATTTTCTTAAGTCCCCAACTCAGCAAAAAAGGTTACTGTTTGGTGGGCTTCATTTCTTTTGATACACTACAGCTTCTTAAATCCTGGGGAAACCATTAATGCCGAATCATATTGTAACCACATTAATGCAATGCATCAGAAGTTGGCAATAATGAAGCCATCTTTGGTCAATCGGAAGAGGCCAAGGGGCCAATTTTGTTGCATGATAACGCCCGGCCACATGTCTCATCTGTGACATCACAAAAACTGTTAAAACTTGGATACGAAACTCTGCCACATCCGCGCCCTACTCTCTGGACCTCTCGCCTACCGATTATAATTTTTGTAGACACCTGGACACGCAAAAAATGTAACGAACAAAGGGAATGGAAAAGATGACAACACGTTGGCAGAAATATCTCGATAGTAGTGGAGACTATTTTGAATAAATAAAACAGTTGTAAATCTTTCTTTTTAAACCAAAATCCTGCATTATTTCCCAGACAACCCAATATATACACTGAATTACCTGACCATATGCAAGATAATATGGCTATAATAAAATAAGATTTTAAAAATAAGTAAACAATTACAAATACATTTTGAAACTCTAACACGAATTATGATAAGACAGAGACAGTTACCCTTATGATTTGCCAAAGAAGACCAAGTACAAGATGAGGTTTTCCCTTTGCTAAATCATGTGCATCTATATTAACAATATTACATCCTATTGCCTGACTTGAAACTAAGGCAAGTGTCAAGTTTTCAAGTTTAGTATATACAGTTAAATTTTTTTTATTAATTGCTCTTTCATCAATGGTGTCAGGGCATGAATGATTAATTATTTTGCTGAAAATCAAAAAGTAAATTAACTAATGATTGTTGCCAAGTACATACAAAATAAAATTATTACATATATAATAAATAATCACATATAATATTTTTTGGTAATTATTCTGTTTTCATAGAATAATACTTTTTTCTTTATAAGTATCAAAATAAATACTATATAATTTATTTATTAGTTAATGTTTTGGGGCTGTATCCCCATTTCATAACATCAAAATTTAATACTTTACAAAAATTGTTATGGCATGTCTCTTTTTTTAATGTAAAACTTTAAAAATTGATGATAAAATTACTCCGCAGACAGTCCATTGCTCAAAACTTATACTATTAACTTTAAATATAATGTTCATATTTGAACATTTTAGAAATAACATTTGCATGTATAAATATGACCGGGTTGGTGCCCATCCCATAATTTCTGGAACTGAACTCAGTAAGTACCATACTGAACGATTTCGAGAGATTAGTGGGAAACCATGGTTTAAAACACAAGTTCATAAGATTTTACCATCAGATAATAATAATTATGATGTAATAAATATTATTTAATAGAATTTATAAAATGGAACATTAATATAAAAAAATAGATCAATAAGGATTTGACTATAACATTAAAATAAAATATATAAACTTATGAGAGATAGTACACAGCAAAAATAATCATTGCACTATGTAATAAAAAAAGTTAATAAAAGCTAATGGTTAAAGAGTTATTCACTCTTGGTTCAAACATCAACCAAAAATATGTAGGGTAATAATAAAAATCGATAAATAAGCTATGGTGCAATAAGTAAAATTCAATACAACATATTAAGGTTAGGTAAACAAAAAACAGAATGAGAAAAGGACAGAGAACACATAATTTACTAAATTAAAGCAATACTAAGAAGTAAATAGTGGTTTTGAACATATGAAATGTTAGGGTATTTAACTAGGGCAGGGGTTCCCAACCTAGAGCTCGCGGGCACAGTGGTTCCTGTGTGATGTCACTCATGCCTGTGAGTGGGCCCGTCTATCTCTAATATAACCTTTATCGGCCATCGCTTTGGCTAGTTTTACTGTTGCCTGCTGCAGATCGAAAAAAGGTTTTTTATTAAATGTTACAAAAAAGTACAAGGAAGGTTATCCAACTTTTTTTTAAAAGTTAAACATGATAGGAATCCTTTGGACAATCATATTACAGAACAAATCAATGCATTGTATGAACAATTACTATTAGACAAATTCAAAATATAGAACAAAAATCACAATGAATTTTTAAAATTACCATGGAAAAGTTAAAAGAAAATATGACAAGAGGTTATCCATTGGAGGCAATTACAGATAGGCAAAAAGAGATATCTCCTTAGTTATTTTCATTCTTTAAATATTCACATAGCTAAATTCACTGTAGGAAAGTGTTTTATTACTGTACCCAGGTGGGTAGTAAGCATTGCCAAAATTTATGTAAGTGATTGCTTAAGAAAGTTTGATAAATAAAACTACAAAACAAAGTTAAACTCATAAAGGTTATCTCCAAAAATGAAAGAAATCTTTTTAAGAAGCTCTTAGAAGTAAATTGCATGGCAATTAGTCAAATTAAATGGCATAGAGGAGGTCCATATCCAGTAAAGGATAAAGGACTGATCAACCAAACATGATAGTTACAAATATGTATACATAAAATACATGTAGGTGAAATCCAAATTATTTATAGAATATTAAATGGTCAAATTGAGATTCCAATTTCAGAAATAAGAATTAAATCCATTAAATTATAGTTTAAAAAATTCGATATAGTCAATACAAATTAATGGAAAAAATAAGGATTAAGAAAATTTTCAAATATTCAATTCATTAATCAAATCAAATAAGGATTTAGTTTCTTCCCAGACAGTCTAGTTAAAAAGCTTCACTTCAAGCAAATGACAACTAATCATATCTTACCTTGTGCTGGTTCAAACATTTTCAATAAGAAAATTGTTCAATATTCTGGAAAATCAAAAATCCAAAAGTAGCTAGATTGCTGAAACCTATAATACTTTAAAATGTCTTAAAAGAATATCAACACAAAGTTTCATAAACAAAAACGAAAAAAGAAATTACCAAAGCAGTATTCCATCTTTAACAGAGTCATATAAACCTTTTCCTTCTGGATCAATAAGAAGCAAATGCTTTAAATCAGGATCATGTCCTAAATTGGTATTGATCCAATCAGAAAAAGCAAGCTGTTCTTCTAACCGTACAGAATGTGTAGTGCCTAAAATAAAATACAAATTAGCATTTCGTTTGTTGGATCATAAAAATTAGTGCAAAGAGCATTTTTTTTTTTATTTCACTACATCATGATAAAAATTATATTTCCTAAAATGGAAACTACAATTTATATCAAGCTGATGAGATACAGAGAATGAATAGTTATGAATTTTAGTAAATAATCATTCCAATTATTGATTGAGAGGAATGAAAGAAAAGGAATGTTATACATAAGCAAACAACTTAAGGGAGAACATTTCAAAAAACATGTGCTTGACAATGACCTTTTATTATTGAAATAAAAATAAACTTAGGTAGATGGTAGGTAATAGATGCCGAATAGAAAAAAATGTAAAAAAAAAAAAATTGGAAATAAAAATGTTAATAATAAAATTTAAGATGGTATATTGGACAAGGTACCTGTCTTTAGTTAAGTAGAGAGAAAAGGCTTTCTCCTTCTGGAGTAATTTTCTAGCATATGCTCAGCTCAGAATTCACCCTTAAGTTGTTTGCTTACACCTAATAAACTATTAGTGATTAACTTAATTCATTATTATGTATAGATAAAGATAAATACATTTGGTTAAGAAATTCTGTTCAATTACACATGTTACATTTCTTGCCCAATTACTATAGACATTTGCGAATAAAGTGGATCATTTAAAAAACAATGAAAGTAAATTTAAGTTTTCATAAATGATTATAATTATTAAAAAGCAATTTACAATGTCAATTTTAAAACAAACGAAAGTAAAAGTTTTGTAAATATTTATATTTTCTAAGCAGGCAAAATCTCTTGCAATAGGTATCAAAGTTAAGCAACATCGAGTGTGGTAAGTAGTTGAAAGGGTGACTACCCAGATCAGATTACGATCCATGGAAAAAAAAAAAAAAAAAAAACTATGCTGCCTCAGTTTCCCCCACAAGTATGTGAGGCCTATTAAGGCTACTGGAGGCAACTCACACAGACCGAACATAGGAGTCCGTATCTTGTATACTTCAATTGAGAATCCCAATGTGGTTTTCCATGATATCAATAGTCTCCCTTGAGGTTGGCCTATGAACAGTATTTTTCAGGGAATGAAATAGAGTTCTACTGACTGAGCAGCCATGAACAGTGGATCTGGACTGGACTAATGCCCTTGAACTCGAGCTAGTTAGTGGGAAGGGCACTGCCAGATTGGTCTTCAAGGGATTAGCTATGAAGCTATATGTGGCCTGCTGCTGCAACACACATGGTTTGTTTCAATGTGATGATGGGTAATTTCCTCCAGGCTATCTATGTTCCTACAACCAATATTCATCTGTAGGAAAACCATATCGTACGGCCAAAGAACCACATGGTCTACAGCACCAAATGAAAAACTAAATAAAAAAAATCAGTTCCCGCCTCTTGGCTAAGGCTAGCCCTTGTTAGTTTAAGAGCCCATGCAAAAAATAAAATTATTTTTAAAAAAAATTGAAAGCATTTTTTTAATATATATAACATTTATATTAAAAAAATTAGTTTACCAATCGGAACTTCCTACCTGTAATCGGTAGCTGATTTAAAAAATAATAGGTCAGTAACTTGAGTATTGAAAAAGAAAATTCATTGCAAAAAATGTGGGAAAAGTTTTTATTTATTTAACTTGTATACATGGATTTACACATGTAAAAAATGTCACCAAGGGAAAACATTTTAAAGTAAAAAAAGCCAGAGGATTTTTTTTGTTTTTTCACATATAACTCCTAAACGATGCATCAAAGCGAAAAACGTAATCTTTGAGAAATCAAATAATATAAAAATTGAGTCTTAAACTAATACGTAAACTTAATTATTTGGTTAAGTGGTATGGTCGATAACCACAGTCGACGAACGCTGTTTTACACCAAATTTATCAAAAACTGAGACAAATTACTATCAACGGCTCTGCCGCTTGTAAATGAGTTCTCTGAGAAAAAAAAAAAAAAACTCATTCATAGAGGGCATCGCTGCAGCTATAGTATACAGTATGTAGTTTATTTTCAAGAGTATCCTGTCAGTCCACCTGATCTGGATCTATGTCCAGTTTGAAATGTTCTATTTGGTCAAGGAGCAGTTTCAGTGCTCTGGGTCTGTATAGCGAAAGGATGTTCTAATATCCGAGATTAAAAGTCCTGTAGGGGTTGCTGGGTTGTTCCTGTTTGTGACAATCAATATCCCAGGCTGATTATGGTTTCAGAGAAATCAGAGAGCTTCAGGTAGGGGAGGCTTCTAACTTTCACTCCATACACTAATATACTGGTGGGACTGCCTCTAGGGTGTGTAATGTAAGTGATCTTAGTGATGATGTGGGGATGAGTGTAGTGTGCTGTACTTAGTGTATGTGTGTGAGTGTCAGTGTGCTGTTCCCCAACCTGGAGGGCCGGCCAGTGACTATCTGTGGTCCTATGACAGGGTGGTGGGGCCACCACCTCCCTCCCTATACCAGTAAACCCATATATACAAGTTAGAAAAATAAGATCTTTTCCCACATTTTTTACAAAGAATTTCCTGTTTCGATCCTCAAGTTACTGGCCCAATATTCTTTAAATCAGCAGCCATTTTTACAGGTAGCAAGATCCGACTGGCAGATTCTTATTTTTTAAATATAAATATTTAAAAAATGATTTGAAAATTTTCTGTCAATTTTTTTTGCAGTCTCTGAAACTATGCTGAGAATAGTCCATAGGGATTAGCAACTTGTAGATATAAGCAATGAAAAAGTGTCAGTCATAATGAAAAAAAATATTAAATTGTACAATTTTTACATGCAGTTATTCCAATAATCCACTTCAATAGCAAATGAGGAAATTATTATTCATAAAATACAATGAATCTTAAAACCACTTCAAATCTTAATATATAAACCAGATTGACAAATACAAAAACGTTTAAAAATAAGTAAAAATAAAACATAGTATCAAGTCAAAATTTTTAATTGAAGGTTGAGTTAAAGGAAAAAAAATTTAGGTTTGAGTAATCATAGAATGTGATGACAAATATTAAGTGTAATTTTAAAAAAATGGCAAAATATTTTTCTCACAGAAAGATAATGAAATTAATACAATTATTATAAAATAAAAAAAAATGCAAATATAAATATAGTAAACTGAAAAATAGTATCTTAAGGAACATTTTGTAGCAATATTTACTGTAATAGAAATATTTAACAGCCAGATTCAGGTTATGAGAAGAATTAGTCTTAAAAACATCAAATTAAATATATTTTTTTTTTTAAATGAAGAAATAGTTGTATGCTTCCAACATAAATTATGATCCATGATTGATAAGATATTATATCGTACATGAAATAAGTGAAAATGATGTAACAGCTGTGAACTATGAAGCAATTGCTGAATATTACCTTCACTTGAAGCATCTGACATTCCTCTAAACGTTTCTAAATTTTCTTTTTTGGATACAACTTGTTTAAATGTACTTGCAACTTCATTAGCCTTTAAGTCAGTACACAACTAAAAAATATAAATATTTATTATTTAAGAGATTTTTTTTTTTTTTACAGGATGCATTATTAATGTGGTAGTGAGGCTCCTAAGATTCTATTTATAACATTTATTTAATTATGTCTTAACAATAATTAATTAAATATTCCACTGCAGAAAAAAATTGTCATAAAACACTGGGTTTTGTTAATGTTTTGGAAACATTTTTATCATTATTAAAAAAAAAGTGATATAATAAGAAAGATATACAACCAGTAGAAACAAAAGAAAACTCATTTGATAACATGAGAGGGTCACAATTCAGTCATTTGGTCAAGTCATAAACTAAATAAATTGAAACCAGGCTTCAATATTTTTTTAACTACTTTTATTTTATACAAGAAAATCAACTCTACGACGACAACATGAAATATGTTAATGACAATAACATGATGCTGGATGAAGGAGCATTGTATTTATAACATCCAGTATATGCTGAATATGCGGTCTATGGCTCTCTTACCATAAGTTATATTTCCTTTTATTGCTAGGTTCAAGTGATACAATGCATAAAGAGAAGGTATTTGTAATTGAAATATAGCAATTCCAAGTCATATTCAACCTTTTTTAATTATTCATTTTATTTTATTTTTTTTTTATATATGGGTGGGTCAGTTAATGTATGCATAGTTTTTGAAAATGATCTCAATTTTAAGACGCCACTATGTTTTGGTTTATTTAAGTTTTTCGGGTTTATTCGATATAAGGGTTCACTTATATGTTATCGCAGATGCAGTTTTTTAAAATAATCTCAATTTTAAGATTACACACACCACTGTGGTACATTTTTTTAAAGTTTTTCAGATTTATTCGATATAAGGGTCTACTTCTATGTTATGGCAGACATGGTTTTTGAAAATAACTTGTATTTTCAGATTACGCCTATGTGTTTCGATTTATTAAGGTTTTGCAGATTTCTTTGATATAAGGGGTCTATTTATATGTATCCGGAGACATATTAAAAAAAAAATTCTCTATTTTAAGATTAAACAGCTTAAGGTTACAAGATACGCAGCTTAATGGTGGAGATCATTTTTCCGGATAAAACCAACAGTTCTAATCTGTGAGGTATAAGTAATTTTTTATCTAGCGAACAAAATATTGAGATATCTTTGTCAGAAAAATCATAATTAAAAAAATAGGAAGGATTTATTTATTTTTCAACCAAAATTTTATAGCTTTGATTAAACAGTTTATTATATATTAAATAATATAAGTAGCAACACAGTGGCGTAATTTTAAAATGGAGAAAAAAAACTACGTCTCTGATAACATATAAGTGGACCCTTATATCGAATAAATCCAGAAAATTCAAACAAATCAAAAAACAATGACATAATCTGAAAACAGACATTATTTTCAAAAAATGTTTCTTACATAACATATAAGTAGACCTTTACATCGAATACCTCCATCAGTTTCCACTGGTTTCAAATAACAGTGACGCGGCTGAGAGAGAAGCACTGGGATCTCCTGGAGTCCTGCCTTGGCTTCCACGTCGGGGAATAAGGCATGACTCAGAGTCCCATGGGTAAATGTAAATATTGTACATAGGTGTGAATGTGATTTATTTACTTTAATTTCATCTAGCTTTTATCTATTATTTCATTATTTTTTTTTGTACACAGACATACCAATTTACTTATTTTATTTTTTTATATTTCTTTTTCTTTATTATTGATAGTAATTGTATGTACATATTGTGTGAATGAATCATGTAGCCTTAATATTAATGCCGTTCAATGTGGCAGAATGTATTAATATTCAATAAAGAAAGTAAAAAAAAAAAAAAAAAATCGAATAAATCTGAAAAACTTAAACAAATCGAAACACAATAGTGTAATCTTCATATGGAGATTATTTTCAAAAACTACGCATATAATAACATAATATTAAACTCTTATATTAAATAAATCCAAAGAGGTACAATAAATCGATATCAGTTAGTGTAACATAAAATTAATAGTATTTGAAAAACTCCACTTATGGGAGCATAATATACCCTCATATTGGATAATAAAAAAAATTGGCCCTTATTTAGAAATTAAAAATTAAAACTTTAATTTGAAATGGAGAAGGTCGAATTTGACTTTAGGAAGGTTGAATTTGTTTTGGAAATAGTTGAATTTGACTTGGAAAAAATTGAATATGACATGGAAACATAGAGAAAAAATCTGAAAAATAAAAATAAATGGATATGCGTTATCAATTTATTTTTTATTTTTCAAAAGCTACGCCTTTGATAATATTGTAAGTGGCCCTTATTTCGAAAAAAAAAAATCAAAGATTTACAAAGATTCAAAACTTGAATTTGATTTGGAAAAGGTTAAAATTCATTTGAAAACGATATATAAATTAGATATTTTAACAGATCCATGACTTGACATAAATGGATTCTTGCTGGCAATCAAAGAACAACTAGTGATCACAAGGGTATACAGAAAGCATATTTATGGAAAGAATACAATACGCGACTTATGTTGTCTATACAAAAAGGCAGTGGAATCAATATAGCATATGACATTTAAATGTACAATACTTCCAACTAAGGGGTACATGTAGAGACACAACAATGCAGTTAAAGAAGTGAATCCACCAAGCAATACCTCAGAGAATGGACTTTGCGGAGCACTATTGCCAGGTTTACACATGAAGCTAATCACCTCCAAGTGCAGTCAAGCTGTTCTGGGATCAAGCTATACTTATAGATCATACTATATCTCACAATAGGCCTGACATTTTAATAAAAAGAACATTTATTATAGAGATTGGAGTTTCATCAGACGATATAATCTGCATGAGTGGTGAAAAAACAAAACAAATATGAAGCATTAGTGGACGAATTGAAATTAAAAGAAAGCCAAACTTAACAATGGTATTCTCAAGCAACAAACTGAGACTGGAGAAATCTGTTTCCTTTGCAAGAACTGAACGTACTCATGGTGGTTAACAAACAGTCAAAGTAAAATTCTCTGTCTTTTCCCTATTTAATGATAGTTTTCCCTGACCAATATGTCTGGGGACTCAAATATAAAAAAAGTATAACTTATAACTTAAATTTATTAATCATTAAAAAAATATCTGACTTGGAAAAATAACAAATCTTACAAATAACAAATATAATGTTTTAGAGGAAGAATTTTTTTAGCTTGATTAGGATTTTATATTTTAGAAAACTAAAGTTTTAGTAATTTATTTTTATCGCCTTCAATTTATTTTCATAAACTGAGAGGAGATTTGAAAAAAATCCAAGTCTATTCGAGACAGCATGCTGAATGTGGTAAATCTTTTAAATCAAAAGAACGGTGAACTACCAACGACAAAATTGGTTCTTCTTAATATTCCGTAATCAGGGTTACAGCAGATTTTACTAAAAAAAACTAACGGATATTTAAAATCAATTCGCGGTCCATTTGATGAACCTCAAACTATATTTTGTGAGGATGGATACAAAGACTCTAAGTCTTAACAGAACAAAAACAATTAGTAAATAAAAATAGCTCAAATTTTATCTTACTTTTTCAAATTCAGGAAATGATATCCTGCCATCTTGTTTTCTACCATCATAATCTTCAATCATTTTTCGAACTTGATATCCAGGTAATTTAAAACCACATAGATCCAGGGCTGTTTTTAATTCTGACAACTCAATGAAACCATCTCCATTTGTATCAATCTAAAACAAAGTTGTAAAAACATAAAAAAAATCTGAGATAAATTTTAAAACAATAATATTTCCACTTAATTTTATCAACATTAAATTATAATTATACAAATAAACTTAAAAAAATATCGACAATGCGATGACTTTATCATTCATAATTTTCTTCTTTTTTTTTTGTTTTATATTATATCACCTAAATGAAAATATTTATTTGCACCTTGCTTTATAAATATAGATGAAAAGATATCAAAATCTGCAGAAAGTGAAATAGTCACTACGGTTTGCAAAGTATTAAAAATGAGGGAAGAGACAGTATTAGTAAATAGAAAGAAAAAGACAATCATAACTCTTGAGTTGGAGGCTTCAGATATAGTATACTGGCTATAACAACAGAAAACTCAACTAAACAGCTGACAGGATTAGAAAATCTATTAAACAAACATATTCAAATAATGAAGGCCCTCAAAAAAATAACTATGTTAGTCAAGTTAGAGGAACCCATGCCATTGGACTGGTATAGGAAAGTGATATGCCCAATTTTTAAGCATAAATTAAAAAACAAAACAATTTAAGTAAAATTAAACATTCACTTCAGAAAAAGGGGCCAGGCAGGGAGATGCTCTTGCATAGTTCCTCTTTAATCTCATCTGGATAAAAGGAATAAGAGATTCTGATATCTAGACCATCTTCGACTAAACATTTCAACTCCTCACTTTCGTAAAAGACATTGACATTAGTCCTAGTTCACTCATTTAAATTGTTCAAAGCTAGTTAATTATAGAAGTTACAGAAAAATACTTTTGTTTAATTAAAAACAGAAAGAAAAAACCAACCATGGGTTTCAGAAGGAAAACCCAGGCAAATAAGACCAAAAGTTTCTTTCGGAATCTACATGTTTTAACAGGTATCCTATACTAATAGGATGGGTGCAAAAGTTAAAATAAGACTAATTGGGTCCAATAAATGTTACTAAGGAATGAGAAACATCATTTCTAGTAATCTGAAGGCTAACAATAATAATTGTATAAGAGCCTAATTTGCCTTGTGCTGACATAAAGTTTGGGAACCTGGATTACCTTGAAGTTGGAAGACAAGAAACAGGTATTTGAAAGAGAAGTTCTGCAATGAATCTCGTCCTTAATTATATTATAGGGGATAATGGTGAAAAAAAGTGAATAAAAAAAAGTTATGACCTATTCAGCTGTATAGATACCATTACAGTAATGCTGCTATCTTGGGAGTATGGTGCGCTTGGATTGAGGGGCTGATGAAGATGTTGGGATCCATATAAGGAAAGCCCAAAAAGCAATCTTGTAGCTTGGCCAGTATGGAAATGGCAAGAAATCAGGAGGGAGACCAAGCTTTGCATTCAATAACATGCTTAATGATTAAAATGAATAGTTATTCTATTATAAATCTTTTATATTTGTTTTCTCCTCAATTAATTACTTGTGTTTTAGAATGAATGTCTTCAACTAAAACTATGGCAAGACATGATGTCAGTGTTACATTCTTTTATGAATTTAAAATCAGACATTTGATTCATAGAAATATTGAGATAGCATTTGGGTTGGGGAGTGTGAGTAAACAGACCATTCCTTGTTGGTTTAAAAAGTTAAGAAGTAGTTACAGTACATTGAGGGAGTGTATCAAAAGCTTTTGCCAAACAACCTGCAGTGATAAATCAGAAGGATCTCGCATTTCTCTAGACAATAACACCAGATAAATCTCATGTAATGAAGTAAGCTCTTTAATAATCAACAGAACTATGCCACTAATTTCATCCATCCCTTTTGTATTTTCTAGACTTGTCTCCAACAGATTTTTACCACTTAAAAAATTTAGAACTTTTGAGTTTCAAAATTAAAAAAATGTTTAATCATTAGGAAAAGTCGTAGAAAAAGAAAGTAACGACTTTGAATTTGTAATTTTTCTAAATTGAGTTAACCTCAAAGGCAGAAAACAGTGAACTGTTTGATTAAATGAAAAAAACAACAAAAAAAAACAGCTTTGTTATTATAATTCAAGAACTATTTAGGTACTCTAAGCTTTCTTTTGTACACATAATACAGCTTTATACCTGCCATACCAAAGGTTATCTCATGCATTGACATTATTATAATGATTGAAGAAATAATTTCTGCTTTAGGTAGACCACAGCTGTCAACATTCACTCGCTCAAGAGTATCCCTATCCGCCTAGCATTATGTAGTGGGACAATACGCGTTTCAATACGTGTCCAGTTTTAAGTACCTCGGCTCCATCGTTAATGATCAGGTTGACGAAAAAGAAGAAATTCAAAATCGGGTAATGGGGGCTAACAAAGCATATTTCGACCTAAGAAGTTTCCTCCGGAGTAAACTACTAAATAGTGATACCAAAATCATTATATACAAAACAATCATCCGACCTGTACTGACCTATGCCAGTGCAACGTGGACCCTACGCAAAAGCCTGGCTAAAAAGATTGACAGTTTTGAAAGAAAAGTGTTGAGGCGCATCCTGGGGCCAGTTAGAGAGAATGGTACATGGCGTTTAAGGAAGAACAAAGAGATCTACGACTTATTCGACGATCTCCGAGTCTCTCATTTCGTGCGAATTCAACGCTTAAAATGGCTGGGACATATCAGAATGGATGAAGGTAGAGCTGTGAAGAAATTATATTATGGAACCCTGGATGGAGTCAGACCACGTGGAAGACCGAAGGGAAGGTGGAAGGACTCCGTGGCTGAGGACTTGATGATGGTGGGAGTATCCAGCAGACATGCTGCTGACCGAAATGATTGGGAAAGGGCAGTTGAGAGGGCCAAGGGCAGCTTCAGGCGCCTGTCGAGCCGTTAAATAAAAATTAATAAATAAATAAGAGTATCCCTATTGGGTCTTTAATCTATGCCACATATGTTAAAGACGGAATGAGAATTATGAGAAAGATAAATTCATTGCTTCTAAACCAAAGGAAAAGATAATACTCCTCTTAAATTTTTTTCTTCAGGCTTTTAGGGAATATTTTCACCTTTCACATTCACTGAATGATGACTTCTGGCTCACACATTCCTTTAGTGATGATTAATAGAAAAATGAATTTTTAATAACATTAATAGAAAAATGTTCATAACAAAAACTCACATTTAATGTTACGGGATCGCTTCCAAAAAAGTAAAATCTTTTCAAACAGCCCAACAATTTTTTTTCCCCTGAATATTTTAGTATCTTATCATTCCAAAAGTAATAATATGTCAATTTGGATTAAAAAAGACATTATTTTTGTTAATTTTAGTGCTTATCTAATGGGAGGTCCCCAGGGATCGGCCTGCAGAGAAAGTAAGGAAAGTGGTGTGACCAACTTAATCCCTGACCACTAAGGCAGGCTTGCTAATAGGGAGTTTGTGATGGCTGTTGGAGCATTGCCCGTAGTAGCATTCTCGTGCCTAGCAACGCCGGTTCGTATCCGGCCTGAGAAGTGTTGATTTTTATTATGTGGCGGATACAGCCTGACCTTTGCACTCTGGTTAGAATAGGTTTGGTTGTACCTCTAGAACAACCCCTCGTAAAAATGGTAGGTAGGGAGTGATCTAATAAAAAAAGGCATGCTTGTTACCTGCAAGCAATTAAAAAAAAAAGAATATATTAAGGAATTAAATAAAAGGTGATGATATTGCAATGGTTTGTAAATTCATGGGGCACCATGAAAAAAAAAAAAAAAGATATTTTGGGTATGGCCATTAGTCCTCAGAAGCAGAGAAAACACAAGTTCGGGCGGTCCCATGGCCTGGAGATTACTGAAGATAAGGCAGTTCTGGTCTGGTGGTAAAATTGTTGGTGGGCAGTCCAGAGTGAGAGACCACTCTAGTGCTTTTTACATGTTAAGACAATCTTTAGAAAATCAATAAACCTGTAACCATAGTGAAAATTGTAATCAATGTGAAATTTCCTATTTATTTTGTGTTATTCAGTGTGGAGGGAATGTAGATATAAAAAGTCTGAATAATCTATATTTATTACTTTAAGGCCAGTGCAGATAAGAAGACCTAAACCTAACTCTAAAACTTTTTATATCTTGTTTTAAACTGAAAAAATATTTTTAAAATTTGAAGGAAAGAAAATTATGAAGACACGCTGAAAGAAAAAGTAAAGTTTAGACCTCAACAATAGTCAATGTTTTTTTGAAGCAATTTTGATTAGAATTGACATTTTCATTATCAACTAATACTAAGCATAATATAAAAAACTGAGATTCCAAAATTTTCATGATCGCAATACTTACCCTTACTATATATTACATATATACGTAAGTGAAAGTAAAAATATTATAAAATCGCGATATCTCTACTAATAGTGCTTTAATTTCGATGAAACTTCTTTCATTTTTTAGGCAATTTAAATATCTTCGAAACATTTCATCACAATATCGACAAAAAAGCGTATACTTTTTGAGTTATTCGGAATTTAATTTCAACATCCCTCGTAACTTTTTTTTCAGCTTCTTTTCGTTGTAGTATGTTATACAGATAAATTTAAAGGGTATCCAGAAAATGACTTTAGCGAAGTTTCATTGAAATCGGTACATCCGTTTAGGCGCTACAGTCTGTAGGAACGCAGGTTTTTCTGCATTTTTATTTTTTTCTCCTTTATTAATTTATCGAATTCTTTCAAAAGTTATATGTAGCATTTTTTTGTAACTCTGAATAATGCGAAATGGTTAACTTTTTAAAATAAACCATATTAAATGTACTTTAGAGGAAGACATATATGAACATTGGGCATTTAAGCCCTGTAAAGTGACATCAACGGGGATACGACCTAAATGATTTAAAGACCCCTTAATTATATAATGATACACCGAGTTTGATCAAAATCGTTAGTCGTTTTTGAGAAAATTGTAAAAATGTGTTTCAGCGTTCATATAAAGTGGCACTTCCAGTTAGCCGATTTTAACGAAAAAGTTGCTGTCACATCCGGCCCATATACAAAGCTTAAATACTTAATATCAGTTTCGTACTACTTTTCGTTTA